GTGGTTTTTTGGGGTCATATGGGGTGTTTTGGGGGCACGAGGAGTGTTATGTGGGGGTGGATTTTTTTATTTTATTTTTTTCGGGTTTGAGTGTTCGGGCACGTAGGTACACGTGGCCGAGGCCCAACGCGCGAATTCCGTTTTTCGGAATTCAACGCGAAGCCCCCGTTTTCGCGTTTAACGCGATTTAACGGGGGTCTGGGGACCCGTTAAACGGGTGTTCGGGCGTTGAATTTTTCCCGTTCTCCGTTGAAAAGATACACAGGCGGTAGATGCAACCACGCGGAGGTACGACCCCAACCTCAAGGATGATCTCGCGGCGGATGGGTCGATCCGGTACTACTCCGTGCGGGGCTTCGAACACGTCGCCGTAGGCGAGAAGCTCGGTGATGCGTGGGTCCGGTGATGAGTCCGTCGATGGAATGTCATGGGGCGGGAGGGCGTGGAGAAAACGCACCCCCATTTCCTCGATGTCATCCCTGATGATGGAAGCTTGAATGCTTGCGGCGGACACCACGTGGCAGTTGATTGAAGGGTGAGGAGGAGGCACCGTGCATGGGACTAGTACTCCGTTCCGATCACGAACATGAACAGTGTGGCGGTAGAAGTTAAGCGGGTGATCCTCGCTTCGCAGCCATGACGTGCCCAAGATCATGTCGAACTTGGTGTCCAAAATATCGAAGGACACGGCCTCGCTTGCATGCGGGGCAAAGTACACAGGGACGACATCAATGCACCGGTCGATTGACTTGTGTGTGTGACCGTCGGCCAACGTGACTTACGTGGGCTGCGACTTCCACCGCACGCGTGGCCCAAGGCCAGCGCGTACCATAAAATCTTGGCTCATGTAGTTGCGAGTAGCTCCGCAATTGATCAAAGCGCTGCAGGTCGCCTCTCCGATCTGAATGCGTATGTATAACAATGGCGCGTCGATGTCGTCGTACCGTTGTGTCTTGAACTCGCGGTCGATCTTCGCAACGTAGTCGTGAAGGTCGACAAGCTCTACTCTGATGTCCATCAACGAAGTTGGTACTGCAGTGTGCAAGTAATCCCGCAATTGTGCCATGAGCACGTTGCAATGCGGTTTCGGCAATCGACCGGACGAGGGAAGGGCCATCCATTGTAAGTCCACAAATGTCAACGGGTCGAGCTCTTCAAGTCTCGACCATGACGTCGAATCCCCGACGATAGATGGCGGCGAAGCTATCGAATCGGTCGTCGATGGTGGTGAAACCGTGCATGCGGTGGATTGTTGCACGTGGAGTGGTTGGTCCAACGGTGGGACCAAGCGGACAGCATAATCCTCGTAAGTGAACCGAGGACTTGCGACATTCGCATCCTCCCCAGATGTGTAGGAGGCCGCTAGCAAAGCGATCGAATCTGGCAGAGTGAGAGGTGGAGTCGCCTCACCTCCCGCGCAACTCAGTTTCCCGAGTTGATGCGAGGCCGAACATCCTCCTTGCCTTGATCTGGGCATAGGGAGGTCTTGTGCTTGGTGCTGCTGCACCAATAGTAGCAGCCATACCGGCCGCGCCACTTGTATTCGGCCTCGGTCAAGTGAAACTTGACCCATGGTGCTGGCTGTCCATTTCCAGCCGGCGATGCGGTTTTCGCCTTCCCTTTTCCTCAGGAGTTGTTGTTGCTTCGCGGCTGGCCACCTAATCTCCCTCATGTGATGCTTGGGTGGCTGTCGGGTCTTCCACAATGTTGTCCGGTTGGACTGCAGTGACATGCTGCGAACGTGGACCGAATTTTCCTTTCTCCACACAGGTTGGCTGCCACGCTGACTTCTCGTGTGCAGCCGCCCTGTTGGTCTTGATGATCTCCCTTGCCTTATCGATGATTTCGGCGAAGGTCGTGTATTGCTCGCGATCACCAAGTGTGAGGCTCAAGGCGGCACATGACCGGTTGTAGAACTCTCGGCGCAGATGCGAAAATGGCAACTTGAGATCGGGCGTTGCCACGATCTTTTGCCATTCTGTGAGCCAGTCAGGCATTGGTGTGTTGCCTTGAGTCATGCTGAAGAGGCGGTTGATGGCGAGCTCTGGGGCGTCGTCCACGATGAACCGCTCTTCCATAGCTTCGTCAACTCGTTCCAAGAGATCTTCTTATGTAGATCGGCAACTTGGACGCCGTGGATGGTTGCCAGGTGGCTGAGCCAGATCTGGCATCCGCCTTTTGAGTTGAGGAACAGCGCGCCGATGTACGAGTGCTCGGGGATAAAAAGAATCCGAAGTTCCGTTGTAAAGCCCTCCCACCAGGGGACCGGGTCTTGATGCGTATAATCATTGAACTTTTCGATGCGGAATGTCGACATCTTGTAGTGCTGCGCACTGGTGTTGCCATCCTTGTTGGGCAGATGGTGCGTGGTCAACTCGTTCCTCCAATTGGCGGGTAGAGGGTGCACTGTTGGACTCGCCAGCATCTTGTCTTGGTGCAACTTGCTCCAAGTCCTGTACACGGGAATCAAGTGCCCGTGTAGCATCCTCGTGCAGATCCTTGTGGTTCAACACTGCCCGTCGGAGATTCACCAGCTCAGACTGCAGGTGGTTACAAGTGTAAACCAACCGGGTCACGAGTTTGGCAATAAACTCCTTGTGCTGCTCTTCCGGTGTCGCGTCTTCGTGGTGCTCGGATGGTTCAAAATGCCAGAACTTGAGCTTTTCGATGTTGGCAGCTTCGTGCCGCTGTAGCAGATCCTGGGCCTCCTTGCCACATGCCTGGGTATCTCCGTCTGCTTCGGCCTGAAGTCGCTGCTTTTCAGCTGCTGCCGCCTGACGTTGTTCCTCAGCCTCGATCAGTGCGAGCTGAGCCTGGAACCGCTGTCGGTACTCGGCAATGGACTCATTGGCCAGTTGGCCTGGCATGCCCAGAACTGAGACCGTCATGGTGGCGGGGTACTGCTGACGTGCTGACGTGGCACTGCTGATGTGGCACTGTTTCTGATGTGGCACTGCTGACATGGCACTGTTGCTTACGTGGCACTGCTTACGTGGCACTGTACCAAACAGGGAATGCAGGCAAAGGGTTGGGTAGGAGGGAAAACGCCGGTAGGTAACCAACCAAACTATACTTTCCTCCCGGTCCTAATCAGCAGAAAAATAAAAATAAAAAATAAAAGAAGAGGATCACCCCCCTTTTTTTGTGTGTGTGTGTATCTGTCGATCTGCTATGAGTGAGGCCTTTCAGAGGAGTACTATGAGCGAGATCTAGGCAAGGTTCCGCAAAGTTTCGGCTTTCAAAAAGAAATGCGATCTTGTGCTAAATAGAGTGGAGGTTCCACTTTCAGAGAAGAATAATTCCAGTCTCCGAGAATATGACAACCTCTATCGTTATCCTAATATGCCTATAAAAAGAAATGCTAACATCAGAAATTTTCGGCTATGTATGCAAATATCAGAAATTTTCGGATGCTAATATCAGAGAAACGAAATGCTACTATCAGAAATTTTCAGATACTTGTTGCGTGAAAACGAAATGCTATTATTAGAAATTTTCAGATATTTGTTGCGAGAAAAAAAAATTGCAGAGATTTGACGAAGTCTTACTTGATTTACTAATAAACAATCAATAGATCAAGCAAGCTGGCTACTTCATTGAGCGGGTCCTCTGATTGAGAGGTCCGCTCCGATACCAAACTGCCGCATACCGTGAAGGTGCAGACCAGAACAAGAACCAACCTCTCTCACAAAGTACAAGATAGCGTAGCGGAAGGCTTAAATACCAATGATCCGAACAATCAATGTTGCAATGCAGCCCAAACATACAGCCTGGCGTTCACACAGGAAGAATGCGCCAGTCCCCAACCATACACAGACGAAGAAGAGGGGGTTAGACGAAGAAGAAGGGAAGATGGGAATGTCGTCAACACCAAGTCTTCGGTACAGGTCCCAAATAACCCCTCGTCAAATGTCTAAATCTCAATGTCAAGTCTGGATCCAATGTCGTCAAGTCCCAAAGTCACCAATCTCTCTCTCTCTTGTAGTCTGCAGGTACTGTGTTGCATACCGTATAGGTGCAGACCAGAACAAGAACCGACCTTTCAATACAAAGTATAAAATAGCACAGCGGAAGACTTAGATACCAATGATCCGAACAATCAATATTGCAATGCAGCCCCAAACATACATCATCATCCTCATTCCATGGTGTGAAGGGGTCTGGCGCTTCACACAGGAAGACTGCGCCAG